GGAGGCGACATCGAGGGAAACGTAACCGAGAGCATCGGGAGCAGCATATCGAGGCGAGCAGCAGAGTATATTAACTTGTCAGTTTTGGGAAGTCAATAAACAAGTTTAAAGTCGAGAAAACAACGTTGTCTTCTTATTCACTGGTGGGGCAATCACAACATATAAATTTGGTGGGACGAACGTACAACCATTACTGAGCTAGCCGCACAATCAAGTAGCGAGCATAAAAGCAACAAAAACAGTTCGTTACAGTATAGCTGTCCGCTACCACATGGGAGTCTAGGCGCCGCGCCTCCCTGCTTGTAGACAGCATATACTTCGTCTTGCCCTCGTTTACCGCCAAACCCACTTTTGCTGACTCTTTTTCGATAGCCGAAAATTCAGCAGTGACATCACGCTTGCTGCGGCCAATGATGTCAATATCATCGGCATACGCAAGGAGCTGGACACTTTTATAAAAAATAGTGCCAGATCGATGTACACCGGCTTTCCGCAGTACCCCTTCCATCACGAAGTTGAAGAGATCGCACGACAGGGGGTCGCCTTGTCTGAAACCTCGAACGGTATTAAAAGGTTCGGAGAGGTTCGTTCCTACCTTGACAGAGCTGATGGTACTGCTCAATGTCATTCTGCAAAGCCGTATTAGCTTTGCAGGAATACCGAACTCAGACATGGTGGCATATAGGCGTTCCCTCGTCGGGCTATCGAGTGCAGCTTTATAATCGACAAAGAGATGGTGTGTGTCGATGTTATTCTCGTGGGTTTTTTCCAGGATTTGGCGTAATGTGAAGATCTGGTCTATGGTGGACTTACCAGGTCTGAAGCCGCACTGATAAGGCCCAATCAGTGTGCTGGTATACGGCTTCAGTCGTTCACATATTACGCTCGATAGGACCTTGTATGAGATGGTAATCAGGCTGATTCCCCGGTAGTTGGCGCATATCGTCGGGTCACCTTTCTTCAGTACAGGACAAAGGACGCTGAGATTCCAATCGTTGGAATAATAAATAGCCATATTTTGCACAAGAGCTGATGCATGCACCTTATCAGCTCTTCGCCGCCGGCCTTAAACAACTCTGCAGGCAGTCCATCAGCACCAGCTGCTTTGTTGTTTTTGAGCCGCGTTATAGCAACTCGGACCTCGTCATGGCTAGGTACGCCACATTGTCGTCGATTGGTGATATCGGGCTGCTTCCTCCAATGGCGGGATTGGTGCCGTCATCGCCTGCTAGCAGCTTGGAGAAATGCTCCCTCCATAAACTCAGCGTGCACTGCGTATCCGAAACCAGATTTCCATTTTCATCCCGACAGTTACATGCTCCGGTCTTGAAACCTTGTGTCAGACGGTTGACTTGTTGGTAGAATTTTCGAACATCATTCCTGTCTCGTAACACCTCAAGTTCCTCGCACTCTCGCTTTTCTTGCTCCCGTTTTTTCCGTCTGAAAAGTCGCCTCTCTTCCTTCCTTTTCTCCCTGTAACGTTCACACGTAGCTCGCGTTGCGCCAGACTGCAGCGTTTTTCTGTTGGCGGCGTTTTTTGCTGCACCTGCGACGCGACACTCCTCGTCATACCATTGGTTCCGTGTGGGTGGGCGCTTGAACCCAATGGTTGATTCAGCAGCAGCTCGCATGGAGTGGGAAATGTGCGCCCAGAGTCCGCCGGCGTCAACAGGGAGAGGGGTAGGTTGGTGGAGCAGTTCCGAGAGGTGAGTGGAGTAGGCCATTGCTGTCCGTTGTGATCGCAGCCTAGTGACGTCAAGCTTTTGTTGCGTGATGGGGCGTATGTTTTTCGCTCGGCATAGCCGCATGCGTATCTTGGCTGCGACAAGATAGTGGTCCGAGTCAATGTTGACTCCACGAAACGTGCGCACGTCCATCACACTTGAGGCATGCCTTCCGTCTATCACAACGTGATCAATCTGGTTGCGCGTCTTTTGATCAGGGGACAGCCATGTGGCCTTGAGGATGTCGAGGTGCCGAAATCTGGTGCTACTCACTACCATGTTTCGCGTCGCGGCGAAGTCAATCAGCCTGAGACCGTTGTTCGAGGTGGTCTCATGGAGGCTGAATTGACCGACGGTGGGGTAAAAGATGCGTTCGCGCCCGACCTTTGCTTCAACGCAAATCCCCGAGGATAATCTTCACGTCGTGGTCTGGGCAGCGGTCGTATGTGTCCTCGAGTCTCGTGTAGAATGCATCCTTTACAGCATCGTCCTTCTCCTCCGTCGGGGCGTGCGCGCAAATTATGCTTAGATTGAAAAACCTAGCTTTGACGCGGATTGTAGCCAGTCGTTCACTCACTGGGGTGAAGTTGGAGACGTGGTGGCGAAGTCTCCGGCTTACTACAAATCCGCATCCAAATTCGCGCCTCTCCGCATGGCAGCTGTAGTAGATATCGCAGTTTGCTCGCTTGGAGCAACCTTGTCCTGTCCATCTCATTTCCTGGATGGCGGTAATGTCAGCCTTTAATTTTTCGAGGGCATCCGCCAGTTGGATAGAGGCACCTTCCCAATTAAGGGTTCGGACATTCCAGGTGCATATCCTTAAATCGTAAACCTTTTTCGTTTTGCGGTGGTCGTCAACATAAGGGGGGATCCTATCCGAGTCTTTCGCTTTGGTCTTCACTGGGCTTCTTTTTTTACGAGGCGGGTTCCAAACCCTGCGCTCAACCGTTTAACGTCCGGGTGACATCGCTGCACACATTAGCTCACTATCTAGCGGATGCTAAGATAGCTACCCAGGAGGTACCACGAGGAGGCTGTGTGTCAACTTGCAATGATTCGAAAAACAGAGATCGCACTGGCGGCCACCAAGTTGACCGCGATCAGAAAACTTTACTCTGTACGAATGAAAGCCATCCCATCCCATTAGTTTGTACTTCTTTGTAAAAGGAACAATGACTGTTTTTGCGGGGTTGAGGTTAAGCCCAACTTCCCTGCACCAGTCGAGCGTTATCTTGAGTCCGAGTTGGACAATATCGCAAAGCGTTTCTTCAAATTTCCCTTTGGCTACTATTACTATGTCATCGGCATAGCCCTAACATTGTATTCCTCTATCGGCAAGTTTCTTTAGTAGTTCATCTACTAGTAGGCTCCACAGTAAAGGAGACAAGACTCCACCTTGCGGACATCCTCTGCTTGTGGCAACGGTCATTGTGCTGTTGCCAATGGTCGCCATTGCCTGCCTGGAGCTTAACAAGGCTCCAATCGACCTTCTTGTTGTCGCGTCTATATTCCTTCTGGCGAGGGCCTCTAAGACAGCATCATGCGACGCATTGTCAAAGGCTCCCTCTATATCCAGAATGGCGCAGATTGCAACTTCTTTGTTGTCCACTACCCCTTCAAGAGTGTGACAAAGTTGGTACAGTGCAGTGTCTGTTGAACGACCTGCCCTGTATGCGTGCTGCGTGGGTTGCAGCGGACAGTCCTTAAGAACTGTGCTCCTAATATGGTAGTCTACCAGCTTTTCCAACGTTTTAAGGCAAAACGAAGTTAAGCTGATAGGTCTGAAGGACTTTGGGTTGGTGATGTCTTTCTTCCCTGCTTTGGGGATGAAGACCACCCTAGCTCTACGCCACGCATTTTGGATGTGTCCAATTGCTAGGCTTCTTAGCATCAGTCTCCTTAAGCGGGTTAGGAGTAAATCCAGTCCCTGCTGCAGGAATGATGGAGAGATACCATCCAGACCAGGTGACTTAAATGGCTGGAAGGTCCCAATTGCCCATTTAAGTCTCTCCGGAGAGACTAGAGACTTGGCAATTGCCCAGTCCTCTGCGCTTGGTCTGAAGTGTCTTGGAGTGGACGATGCCTCCATTTGGTTGGCCGTATCTTCCATCAATCTTGCACCTTCATGGGCTGTGCTGATTGCCTCACAGAAGTCTCTGTAGTTCTTCCGTTTGGCCTTCCTGATCTCTTTGTTATAGAGCGTCAGGCTTTGTTAATATTGTCTCCAGTTATCCTCGCTCGTTTTTGCTCTGTTGAAGAGCCGGCGGGTGGAGATTCTAAGCCGTTCCAGGTTGTCATTCCACCATGGGGCGTCTCTATCTGCTTTCCGTCTGCCAAGAGGGCAACTGTCCTCAAAAGCATTGGTTATCTTCTTGCAGAGGTTATCCACTGCCTGATCCAATTCTAAAGAATGTCTGGGTATACCTGTCGGTTCGTTAGAGAGATTGGGCTCAAGAGAGGACTTGAACCAATCCCAGTTTGTTTTCTTGGGATTCCTTTTGGGGGCGTCCCTAGCGGTGTTGAAGCCTACTTCAAATCTAATGATTCGGTGATCCGACATTGATTCCTCTGGCGACACATGCCAGTTCTTGATAAGTGGTCCTAGAGACCTGCTCATCAGAGTTATGTCTAGGATCTCTTCTCTTACTCTAGTAATGAATGTCGGTGTGGACCCGACATTACCGATTTCTAGGTTACTATTTACAATAAACTCTATTAGCTGCTCACCTCTGTTTTTGACGTCGGTGCTTCCCCATATCACGTGATGTGCATTGGCGTCACATCCTATGATTAGGGGTAACTTCTTCCTCCTGCAGCATTCCACGAGTCCGATGATTTCCGGTGGTGGGCATGCTGCATCCCCAGCTGGTAACTTTCCTGTGCCGCTCAGCGTTACCGCGACGCAGTCACTGCTTAGGAACTCTGAAAAGATATTATAATTGATATCTTTCCTTATTAATATGCATGCTCTTGGGTGTGCACCCCGTTGGTCGCATATTACCTTTACCTTGGTGTACAGGCCTTTAATGCCCTGATTGCACCAAGGCTCCTGAATGAGAGCTAGCCCGAGATGTTAGGAGGTGAACAACCTGGCCAGGACGGCGGATGCCGCCTTGGCCCGGTGTAAGTTCACCTGGGCTAGCTGCATGCTGCGGTGTGCAGCCATTACTGGATCGGGTGCTCCATGTTTTGTGAAGGGGGCGGGCATTCCCCTTCACTGCCTTCCGTCAGGGTGACGTCGGCCTCCTTTTCGTCGATATCTTCTAGGAGGGGCTCTTATGCCACCTCCTGGCAGGGCGAGGGATGTTCATCCTTACTCTCCACGTCCATATCGGCGATAGCCTACTCCTTTGCACCCAATGGCTCTTGTGGCTTTCCGAAGGATTCCTCGACCTCCACTTTGCCGTCTTTGGGGCCGGGGGGCGCTGCTTCTGTTGCCGCCATCTTTACCGCCTTCCTGAGACCACTCACCGAGACGGTCCCGAATCTAAAGTTCAGCTGGTGCCCTTTAGAGACGATCTCGTCTCGGGTGAGTTGGTCTATCCCTATAACGACGAGTGCCCCGCCTCCGTCGTTCTTTCGGGAGATCACCTTCCAGGAATCGACCTCCATTCTGTTCTGGCGTCCCAGCATCATCAGAAGCTCCTCATTGCTTCTTTCTGCACTTCTAGGGCAGAAGACTGTGACATTGTATGCCGCAGGAATGTCTTCTCCTACCCTAGTGTCAAGGGGCACGCCCTTCCACGTCCTTAGCTGAGGCGTTACAGCCCTCAGCCAGTCCGCCGAGTCCTGGTCCAAGCAGTCTATCAGGAGGTATCCGACCCTAAAGTGGATACCTCTGAAGGCGACTGCTGAGTCCCATTCAGACGTGACTACGTCGTCCATTATGGCCTCCTCCAGCTCGGCAAGCTCTTCGTTGCTCAGGTACACCTGCGGGTAGTCTTCAGGTAGTACCGCAACTCTGACTCTCTTGGCGGCCTTCGCGTAGGAGGTGTGTGTGCCAGTGAGAGGTGCCGCACAAGTGGAGGGTGGCTGCTTCTCACCCTTGTCACCCGCCTTCGGCACGCAGGGTGTGCCAGCAGATACCTCAGGAGGGGGTCTCCTCGTCGCCGCCGCCTTCGATGTGCTAGGCTCATCAGGCCTTGGGGGACGGGGGGGAGGTGCCGCTGCCTCTTTGATGCCCTCTGACTTGGACCTTTTCGGGGTGTCCATCGGAGGGGTGAGGGTACTATTTGCCCGTTTGCTGGCAGGGGCAACGTTTTGTACCACTGGTCGTGGCTCCTTCGCCTTCTTCAAAGCTTCATCAGGTGTCATGCCCTGCTGAAGATAACTGAGGTACCATTTGACCTTGGACCCCGACAGGCCTTTCCTGTTGGGGTCGCCAAGGCCTCCTGGTTGTCCTCTGGCTGGAAGGACATCTGCCTTATTGGCGGGCTTGGTCTTCTGTATAGCCGCGGGGGGGTGGGCAAGCCGGCCGGGATGGTCCTGCCGGTAGCCCACGTTCCCGAACTGGAACAGTCGGTCGCTGTGGGGGTTGTCCCACATTCTGCGTCCGTGACGCACTCCTGATGGAAGCTGCGTTCCTGGGTGGGGCTGGTCCCACCTGGGGTCGCACTCCGTCAAGGAGTCTGCTTTCCAAGAGCCTTGCGGCACTTGATGCAGGGATATCCTGCGGCAATTTGGTGTTCGTATGTTTCTTCATAATCGAATCCTACGAGTTGCGAAGAAAGTATGGTCCACCCGGGCAGAGATCCGCCATACCCGGGTAAGGCGCAGTTAGGACAGGCGGTCGCCACTTGCCTGAACCCTCCGTGAGAGACTGGGCTATTTGTTAATCCGGGCCCCCAGCCATGCTGACTATCGGCACGGGTCGGATGACACCTTAGTCCGGCCCGGAGTGAGATTGTGTGGGGAGGGGAGTTGATAGGTAGTCGTGAGGGAAGAGGAGTGTGTGAGGCTATACTTTTGAAGACGGCCAGACAAACGTCTCATCAGTACACCGACTCCGGTGTACCCGCTGTTTGTCTTGGTTGCTTATTATCTTGCGCCTATTCGCAACTAACATTATAGAAGGCCGTTCGCTATCCGCAACCTGCGACCCGCCTGGTGGCCCCAGCTAAGCCCCCTCTTGAACATCCCACTAGTTCTCGAGGACCAAGTCTAGCTCCGTTACAGAGTAGTTTCTTTGAGCCTTCGTCAACTTTTCGGACATAAATGCTATAGGTAGTTCCTCGTTCTCCTCATTGTTTTGCGCTAACACACATCCCAATCCAAAAGTACTAGCGTCACACAAAAGCAGAAAAGGTTTCGTAAAATTTGGAGTGGATAAAATCGGAGCGGATGTAAGACAACGTTTAAGGGTGTTAAAGGCTTCGTCTGCTGTAGAGTTCCATGCATAGTGCTTCGATTTCTTAAGAAGTTCGGTAAGCGGACAACTGACTGTAGCATAATTATCAACAAAACGACGATACCATCCGGCGACTTAGACTCACGTGAGTCTAAGCATAACCTGTTTTTATTTCCTTTTTTAACCAATACGCAATTACTGCTCCACGGACTATTTGAAGGTTCTATGACATCTAAGGCTATCATCTTTTCCACTTCCTCAAACATCCATTTCTCTTTGGCCGGTGAAATTGGCCAATGCCTTTGCTTAACTGGAGTCTCAGTATTTATAATCATCGAGTGTTCAAGAAGTCCTTCGCGTTCAAATGATGGAAATGTTTTTATGACTTCTCCAAGTTTAACTTTCTGATCTTCCGTTAATAAATGCATTTTTGGATCCTCTTTTCTGGACGAATCGTCTCCTATATCTAATTCACCTACTGTTTCTTCTTTATTAAGTAACTTAGCTAAAAGACCGAAACTTTCCCCCTAAAAAACTTACAGTTGCCCCCGAATCCAAAAGCGCTTTATACGTTGCTCCTTCTATTATAATGTCAGCGTATAAACGGTTGTCTGAACTCAAAATGACTGCTGATATTATTCTGATCCGATCTGCTCTTACTTTTTTCCAGAACTCCCGACTTCTTAATGTAGATCGTTTGGGTTTGATCCGTATATTGAGTAATGGATTATTATTTAGTTCTTTTTCGTTTTGATCTAATAGTTCGTCTCAAGTTTGAGTCGCGGCTTGACAGACTAATTAATGGATCAGCGTGTAATTTAGAAATTTGGTCTATTTTCGCGACGTTAATGTCGAATGCGCTGATCGATGCTGGTTCTGCGCATCCTGCTTCCGGTTTCCCGACGGATTGGACACCGAGGCTTGTATACATCTTTAGCACCACATCCGTAGCAATGCAAACGTTTTTCCGCCAGACACTCCCTATAACCATGGCCGATCTGATCACAGTTAAAGCAGGTCACTTTTGTCCAATCCCTTTTTTCTATCTGTGCCACGGATTCTTCTTCCTCTTCAGTATCGGTTAGGATTTCGGATACATGTTGTTTTCCGAACCTATTTCTAGGTATGGCATTGTTAGTTTCTCTACAAAAATTGTCGTGGTTCTTAACTTCTTCACGCAGTTCGCAGCGTTTTTTAATTTTTAGGTGAAGAAGCTCGTATCTGAGTGAGACTTTAGCATTGCGCTTTAAAATATCCACTATTTTATCTTCTGCTACTTCACTGGAAAGACGCGTTTTCTTTTTTCTGCGTTTCTTTGTGAAGGTTGATTCCTTTGTACTTCACTTTGAGGAGCCGTTTGTGACGGCTGTGTCGGAGTTAATTCCGCACCTAATGTAAGTCTTCCTAGTTGTGTTCTAAGACTCTCCTCTACAGTCCTTTTTACGAATGAACTTAGTTCTGTCATCATGTCTTTTTGCTGACTTTTTATTATAGCATGGATAACGTTTGAAGTATTCTTGCTCTCATCTCCTTCTTGAGAGTAAGGTGCTGTATTTGCAACCGAGTTATCTCTTCCGTTTCGAGTCTGTGATCTGGTTCTCATCGCCCTGCGATCGAAATCTGTACGGTTTTGTCGTAACTTAGCCCCTCGTCCCCTTCCTCGACCTCTAGGTCTTTGCTCGGGAGATAGAAATTCAAAATTTTGTTGAGCTGGAGCTAAATTTATATTATCTTGTAGTTCAGCTGCTAGAGTTTTTTCCTCAAAGGTGATCATAGCCGGATTAAATTCGAATTTGCAAATAGTGCATATTCGGCTTGTTTTCAAATATTTCTGCATGCAGCTATCGTGAAAGCGATGTCCACATGGTGTGGTACAATTTAACTGCGTTGTAGTTAATGTCTTATTACAGATGCCGAAAAATTCGGGGACAGGTTCCCCCAAATCGCCGCCTACTGCGCCTCCTTCTGGGGTGCGTTGTAACGGCATTTTAAATATAGATAAATTTGTTGAAAAAGTTTGTTTTATAATCAAATACAAATATTCGTCCCTTTTAAACATGTTTCAGTCAGTAAAATATAAAACTACCATTTTAGAACGAAACACTTCCTTTTGAATACATTTTGTTTGCTTTTATAGAAACTAACCTGGTCGTGGTTAATCTCCAAATAATGAATCTAGTAAATTAAATATCCAACTGCCTTGATTTAATTTCCTTTCCCAAACTTTGGTGATATATGGTTTATAGTTTGGACGCCCTATCCTGATACTCTGAATGGATGACGTAAAATCGCAAACTAAAATTGACCTAAATATCTATGTCTACTTTGTCAGCCTTACTGAGTTTGGATCCACTTATATTCTGAATTAAATAGGGTCGTTTAATCCAATTTTGAATTAAACACCGCATATCCGTTAATATCATCCAGAACTTAAAAAGGACATGACTTATTTGCAAAACACTATTGTTTTTGGGTGGAATTGGAAGAGCTTTATTTGTGGTATCTAAAACCTTAATTTTTCTCCTGGTTTCAAAGGCCACACGTTCTGGGCGCCAAATATGTAATATGGGTGGTTTCCCTGTGTCCAAACAATTTAAAAGATGTTGTAGGGAAAATTGAAAGCTATTGATTTCGGACGACAATCCGGCGAGCTAGTTTGAGCACAGCAAGAGGTACACTTCTCGAAATCCGGTCAATCGTCTGTGTCGTCCGAAATCAATAGCTTTTAGCTATTTTCCCTACAACATCTTTTAATTTGTTTGGACACAGGGAAACCACCCACATTACATATATAAAGTTTCAGGTTGTCAGTCTGTTTTTGAAAATACATAAGAGCTCGGTCAAACTTTACCGTGCTTAAGGGGTTATATACCTTTTTGAGCGAAAAAAATGAGGGAACTTTGGATTTTTTTTCAGGTGTGAAGCAATTATTTTATGATACTGAGGTTATTATTTATTGATAGTACATGTTTTTATAAGTTTTAATCTTAAAAAAAATATAAATAACTTTCGAAATTATGACAATTCTCTCATAACCCTTTTTTTTTTAGCGGCTTGCGGTGACCACGATGGAAGTCCAGCGGGTCAACTAAAATCAATAAACCAAAAATTTTTTATTAGTTTAGTATTATTTCTAGTTCGTCATTGAATTACTTCAAGAATATTTGGTTTTTTCTGCATACAGTAACAATTTTTTAAAAAAATTCATATTTCGAGCTCTAAAAATTTTGTTAAAAATTTCTTATCTGCCAAATCGAAATTGGCGCATAAAAACTGATTCAATGACGAACTCGGCACAATCATTACGAATATTTAAAAAAAAAATTGAAGAAGATCGTTCAAATAGTTCTTGTGCAATCGCGGTCACAGCAAAGGCACTTTTGGAAAAAAACGACTTTGAGATAATCGCATTCAAAGTTTTACGTTGCGTTACAAAGAGTGACGAACCGCGCCTCAAAACGCTGTTTTCCTATCGAACTATTATTCGGATCTCTTCAAAAATTTGGGAAAATGTTCTCTAGGGGATATACTTTAGGATTCAGCAAAAAATAATTTTTCGTTTTTTTGAAAAAAAAAAAAGGTATATAACCCCTTAACGCTCAATGTTACCAAAATTATTTAGTCCATTGCAAGTCCCAGTTTTTACGGCATCCTAAACTGTTTTATAGTTTTGTTAATTGTAATATGCTTACTTATCGGGTACCCACCCACTGTACCCTTTTATATACCAAATAAATACAAAGTAGCATTTGTAAGTAATGACCCACACAAGAATGCAATGGGCAGCCAAAGTGCTGAGTCCGCATGTCTGGCATGCGCGACCGAGTTATGATATGTCAGCATAATACTCTCTCTCACTCAACGGCTTGCGCAACCTTTGTTGGGCTGCCCTATATGTATATGAGCGCGGACTGCTCCGCTGCCGGCGTCTCCGACGGCGTAGCTGCGCAGTCCCGACTTTGACCAATGTTTAGAGAGAATAAGTATTTGACGGAGGGGTCTTGTTTCCTTGAAGATTTATACCGTTGTCTGACATTTTGCGAGCGAAGCGAGTCTCAGTGCGTGCGTTCTCTTCAAAATTTACAATCCAAAAGACTTTTTAACTACGATTTGACACCATCGTTATCCCTTTTTCTCAACACAACACTGAGCCACACTGACGACTGCATATACAGTCGTCTCACTCTTCTACTATCGA